CTGTTAAGTCTGTAGGAGAAACTATGAATATTATGTCATTTCCGTCAATAGATCCTCCTTAAGGTTACACACTGGATCTTTAAGTCTTGACAGAAAGTCTTTGGTGCTTAGAGATTTTTGTAATCGAGGGGCCTCTGCCCTGAGCAGCAGGAAGATAAATCCCCCCATTGAGTCCAGACACTGGTGGTGGTGGATGATGACTCTGCTGGGGCTGATGAAATGATGATGATGATGAATCTGCAAAGACTGGGTGGTGATGGGGAGGGGGGCGCATAACAGCATCATGAACTTACTGAAGGCAGAAAGAGATGTGGGTACAGTGGAAGACAAAAAAGGGAGTTAGAATTGGGCATTTTAGATGAATGTTAAGTAAGTACTTTTGTAAATACTGGGTGCCTACGAGGTAAACTGTAAATTATTTATGGTATAATGTTTTTCACATAATGCCAATATGCTCCCATAGTCTTGTTTTCTTTCACTGTACCAAGGCAAATTCCTCGTATGTGAAAACTTACTTGGAACCTGAAACCTGAATTTGAACATTCTTGTTTCATTTGACATGAATTTAAGTTACAAATGTATATTTCTGAATACAGAGTGGCTTAATAATATATTTTGCATAATATTTTTTCATTTGTTTTGTGAAGCGATTGAAATATCCTAGAAGAGTCTTTGAACCTGTTCAAGAACTCTTCTGAATGTAGGATGTTCTGTTTCTCTATATATTGTATAGCTATATAGCTCCAGCCATTTAAAGTTGTTTTGTAATATATATTTAATTCTGTTCACATCTTGTGGTTTTTGCATGTTCTCATGCTGCTCACATGATGATATGTATTATAACTAATGGCTTATAGTTGTTGCTAAGGTAAGGCATGGGAGAATAAAGCTCACATTGATAGTATAGCTATTATATAAGTGAACCAGGTCTCTGTTAAACTCTATGTGTTGTTATTGTAGACACATCCTGATTTAGTACTATATTTGGTGGGCTACACATTTAGGGGAAATTGCCGGCTGTATTAAAGAGTTATTGTTTTAATCTATTGTAGGTCCAAGGAGAGATCAAGAGGAAGTGGCGGAGGTGGCACCTGCAGAGATACATGGGCTCGGACACCAAATACCAACATCCATCTATTGGCAGCAGCAACAACTTCAGCACTCAGATCACCATGTTGACACGATGCAGCCCAAAAACAAGCCGGGGTTCATCCTCCTGTCACGACGACCTGTCTAGCATATGACTCACATGAACAGTGATACAGACATACATGCTGTACAAAACTCCCATGTTAAACAGTGTATGTAAGCTCTATGGATGAAAGACACACTCTCCCTCATTAACACATGCGCTCTTGGAGGATGTGTTGCTTGAGTGTGACATGGACAAAGGGAAGTGATGAAACAACATAGTGTTACCGTAATCAGCTACTAAGCGGCTTTTAATCACCACGCTTCTTTAAAAAAAAAGAAAAGTAGGTTTAAGTCACAAAGATACAAGCGCATCACTTCACAAGCACAGCTTTTGCACATTTGAATAAGAGACGTTCACTTTCTGTCTTTGTATTTCATGATTCAGTGCACAGGTGAATTTGTGAGTCATACCATTATGGATCATTTGGTCAATCGTTATTAAGTTCTCTGTGTGCTCAGATGCCGGGCAATGCGAAATGTCACATATTAATGGGGTTAGGTGAGGGATCCAAATGTGAACTGCACCAGCAGACCCACAATCTGATGTAATTATGCGCTGATTAAAAATCACTTAGTGGATTCCTGCAGCTCCAAATGAACAAGGCTGGTGCAAAGACACAGATGTTTGAAGAAAATGAGCTGGTATTTTTTTTTTTTTCTAACAAGAAATCCCATTATTTACATTGTTACAGCGTGTGCAGCATCATTAAAGGCAAGAAAAGTACCAGAAATACATTAAGGGAGGTGTGTTTGAGAGCTGAATGTTAGCAGTGATGGAAAATGTGTTTTAAAGCATATTTTAGGCAACAGAAAAGAATGTAAAAGAACAAAACAGTGTGCAACATCTTGTTTTCCTCGCTGTGTAGGAGGACAGAAAAAGAAAAACTGGCTGATAACCAGGAGCAAACTTTATTTCCATAAATGCCAAACGGATTCAGACCGGGTGACCAGTGTGATGCTGATTCACAATGACGGGTTTGGAGTACAAATGCCCTTCTCTGCACTATCACTCTCATGAGAGACTGATTGCTCTTTGCCTTCCCTTTTATCAGTACGTCCTTCCCGTCTTGTTTTTTTTATTCTGAGCCTGCGATATGGTTGATGTTTTTTTTACTATTTGAGGCACTCTGTAGTAAAAGCAAAAAGTTTTTGCTCCGATCACTGACGAGTGCCTGGTTTCAGTGTTTTGAGGTGACACTTTCAATCAAATCTTCGCTGGCTGTTGGTCTGCACAGCGACTCTGGAGAGGAAATGCCTTCAGTCCTTGAATGTTTACATTTACTTAGAAGGAGTCATTTAACATTTTACAGCCAAGTATACAGTGTAAAGAACAGTAATTGTTTTGGATTGTTGTGCCATACTGATTGTATCGTGGCTACAATATCAGTAATGTATCACTGTAATTGTTGTTTGTTCGTGTTATTGCAACATGTGGGATTTTAAGCCTCGCCAGGAACATAAAATACTGTTGTACAAGCTTGTTTATGTAGCAGTCTGTGGCTCAGTGTTAAACATAACAGCTAAATAAGAGGCACTTACATTTGAATTTAAAACAGATGTGTACAGAGAAGCTTTCGTTGCGATGCTTTGGTGGACTGATTGTAACTTGAACACCTAAATCCTCCATCTTGAAAAAACGTTTCCTGAATTTTGCATCGACTTGTCAAGTCTAAACTTCTCCACTGGAGGAGTTTCAACCTGACAAGTCAGTAGAGACTGTTTGAGCCAGTATGTAAAGCAAAGCAAAATGACAAGGATGACTGGCCCTGTCACAACGATGCTATCATTGTGCTTTTCAGCTCACAAGGTTAGACTTAAAAGTCACTTTCATGTTCATGCAAGAGAGAGCATCCAGAAGGTCTAGCCTTACCTGGAGAAAATACCATAATCTCAACCCACCGCTGATTTAAAGGGTCAGATCAAACATAGAGCCCCATGTCAAATGATAGAACAATACTGCTAATGTTGATCTAGAAATAATCAAATATGGGATGTTTTGTTGGTGACATAAGCTTAAAGTAATGGTTGCCTTCTACGTTTTGGGAATCACACTTATTTGCTATTGTTAGAAGAGACTGAAGACTGAGAAGATAAACACCACTCTCATATCTGTCTGTTCTAGCAGCTGGTTAGCTTAGCATAAAGACTGGAAGCAGGGGGAAACAGCTAGCCCAGCTATCAGCACATGAAAAGCTCACTAATGAACACGTTATATATCTCTTTCTTGTGAAGTCTTGTCATCCCCATGAGCAGTGTTGGGCTAGGTACTCAAAAATTATAATATATTACTCATTCCTCATTACTCTTTTAAAAAGTAATATCATTACTTTACTTATTACGATATCACGATTACAAAAATGAATACAAGGATGTATTTGATTGTTGGTTTTTTAAATCAGTAGATGGGGACAACAAAAGTAATATTCTAACTAATATTTTTTGGGAGGAGTAACTAATATTATTACTGAAATGTATTAATAATTAGTTACACTACTAGTTACTGGGAAAAGTAACATTATTACTAGTGATGAATTACTGCTCAACACTGACCATGACGTGACAAGAGTGACTTCAAGAGGCTAACTACACTCATGATGGACAAAATAGTCCAGCATATCCTTGCTGTCATTTTCATACTTTGAAATATAACATGTTGCTTTGGGGGTGCTGGAAGACTTTTTTTTTTTACCTTTGGACAGCTGTCTCCCCCATAGTGTACAGATGTGAGAGTGGTATCAGTCTCCTCATTTAATTCACGGCAAGAAAGCAAATATTTCCCAAAATGTCAAACTAGTCCCTTAAAGATTCATTATCACACATTGTTTGGTGACTGTCTTCTGTTGTTATATAGTTTAATGTAATTGTCTGAATTTGCCATTGTACCTCTCAAAATAGTGAATGTAAATAGATTTGTACATACTGAAGAAACAATTCAAATACAGAGTTTTCAAATCCAGTCACATCCACGTCCAGTGTTGTTAGATATTAGTGTTTTGGTAACCGGGCATGGTTGTTTTGTATCAGTGAGATATATTAAAACTCGATATTGACTCAACAATGACTCACTTATAGTAAGTATTCAGTGTTAAAGTATGTGTAATATAGATTTGTTTATTTGCAAACTGGATATTGTGCTGTGTATATTTAAGATTTGAGAGTTTTCTGTTTTATTGTTATCAACATATGTGTAACACCGGTGCAATGCATACCATTGTGAAGCTACAAATGTACTGCAAGTATTTATTAGCTTACATTCACATTTGTGTACACAAAAGGCCATTCATTAGTTTTACAATAATAGGTTTTTGTATATTAGTATTATTATTATTATTGTTATTAATAATTGTGTTGTACCTTGTATATAAAAAGGGAGGAAATTTAACTTGCCATAACATTTTGACATTGTTCCACTCAAACTGTATTTAAATAAATTATTTAGAAATATACAACATGGGTGAAGTTTGAGTTTTCTATGGAGATTACGTTAAACTTATTTGCTTCAGTGTTTTTTTAAAAAGTTTATACCGTCTGTCAAGATGAAATAATTTCATCATTAGTATGACTTTATGCACCATGAACCATGTCCTCGCTGGCTGCTACATGTAACATTTTGCCTAATTGATTAAATTAGTTTATAAAGTGTTCACTGCAACTTGACATGGGCATGGCCCAGAGTTGATTCATTTTTATTTCACTCCCAGAGATGCTCACTTAAGCTTCAGACTCAAGGTATTCATGTAAATACCTTAATCCCTGTCAGTGCACAAATAACATTCAACAAGTTGCATGCAGGTATTCTTCGATTTAAATATTCACATTTCACAGTCGATGCCTCCTCAACCAGCGTACTGTTCATGTTCTGACTTGATTGGATGTCTGTGTTCAATGTGCAAGCAGACAGCTTGATAATCCATCTGATACGAATATGTAATATCGTCAGAAAGCAGCAGGTTCTTAAGGAAACAATGTGTTTGTAATAGACAGCTCAAAGTGTTCGAAACACTGCCTCAGGCTCACGGAAAGAAATTATTCCAGTAAATGACTGTACCTTTTTATTTCATCGTGTGCTGTTACAGGTCACAGTGCCCTTAAAAGAAAGAATATAGTGTTTGAAAAGACAAAAATACTTTTTAAAAAGACTTTCAACTTAATAAAGCCATTATAACCACTTTTAATCATTTGCATAAATTCAGTCAGGAATAAATTACACAAAAGCACATTTATTCTTAAGTGTCTTACTTGTACTTTGAGTGTTTCTGTACTTTAACTTTACTACACCTTAGAGGGGCATATGGACTACAATATTTTACTACTACAGTCAGTTATATGAGGGAATACTTAATAAACACATTAATAAAATGATGATTCACATAACTGTAACAAACTAGTTTGACTTTTGCAGCTTTAAGAACATTTAAACACCAGTGACAGATTATTGCCACAATTTAAAGGCACAATTTGAAATGTTTAATTAAAACACAGGATCGGACTCATCCATCACTCCTAAATTAATTGTTTTTAACTGGTTTTGAGGACAAACACTAGACTAAAGTTATTAACATTTTCTAACATAGTCAGTGGTTTGGTTTTTAGCAGTACACAGCAGAAAAACAGACCTAATGTTCAGTTATAAGATCAAAAACAGAAAAATGTAAATTTTTAATCTGTAGCTCAAACTCTTCAGTAAAAATGTCTTATCAGAGATGATATAAACAAATGCTGCTTTAGAAACTTGAAATAGAGTATTTAGTATTTATTTATTTTTAGTACTGTAAAGCACAATGTGTTTTAATTAAATATTTCCACTTAAATATTTTTTATGCTAGTCTACTTTTTACTCCACTATAATAAAATCCCATTTACATGGGAGGATTTTGAACAGTGAGTACTTTTACTTTTCACCCTTTAAGCACATTTTGCTGCTCACACTTACCTACTTGTAACAGAGTAGGCCTATTTAATACTGTAGTATTCTAAAAATCTCAGTACTTGGTCCACGGGGTAAAAGGATCAGAATCAATCTTCCAGTTAGAAATCAAAGCAACTCTCGCTCTAGTTCCTCCCAGTGCCAGTTGCACTTCAGTTACAATATTTGACAGGTATGACTGACCCGCTGAGTTTGCTTTGGTGTAATGAAACTCCCGCTATTTGAATTAATCCCTGTGTTGTCCCTCAGGTTTATTGGTTCACTCGCTGCCTTTGAGCAGGACGGACCTCTTACTGTGCTCAGCACCATGAAGAAGAGTGAATTCAGCCAAAGCAAGACACTGTGTGCTGTAAAAAGATTAACAAACACACCCTGCCATGCCTGCTGTCTCAGATCTGCTGCTCTTGGGTCTAATGTTTCATTAGCTCTATTCACAAAGTGGAAATGAGCATGCATATAATACGATTAGCTATTCAGAGGAATTGTAATGATTGTAAATAGAGGGATTTTCAGGGTTGAAGGTTGATGCATGAAATATTAAAAACGTATACACAGATTAAAAACAACAACCCCGAGGCCCATGTGTTGAAATATGCTGATCAAATACATAAACATATTTGTTGTTGTTGTATATTCTGCCATCAAATAATACATTGCAATACAGCATGTCAGGTAGCTTAAAAATATATGATTTTATAGTGTCTTTAGGTTCTCGCTGTCAGAATACATAAACCAGGGACTGAGATACAGACAAGAGAGAAGATGGATGAAGTTATTTTCAGCTTCCCAGTGACTCTTAAAATGTGAGACAGGTGTATTGCCTTTAAGGATCTTTCAATATTCATGACACCTGTTAAATATTCATGTGACAAATAAAGCAAAGTTTGGAAAGGCGAGCGACTGAGCAAATAAGTGAGCTCTGTGCAAACGGCTAAGAGGATGCTTTGATTACTTTTGCCGTCGTCAAACCAGCTCTGAGACCCTGACTCCTGATTTAAAGAGAAGTCATCTGCCAAATCTGATCTGATCTGATGTGTAGCCAGGAGTCATGCTGATGAACATCAGAGGTTTAAGTCAGAGGAATAAGTCATTGTATATTGACTTCATGACCTGTTTGGTCGGGATTTGCTGGTTGTAATTCACAACAGTGACTACTTTAATAACTGGCAAAAGCTTGACTTTCTCCTAAACACAAAGACTATACAGTGTTTCACTCAGCTTTGAACTTTGAATTTGCATATAACAGAGATTGTTAAATCAAAGTGTATTACCTTGAACTTTTTGAACATTTCACACATTAGCATGCCAACCACTACTGCCAACCAATGCCAGCTGGTGTGAAAGAACAAAAAGGTCCTGGTCCTGGAAAATATATAGTTCTAAAAAAAAACTTCACATTTCAGCATGCTGTGTGTTCTTATATTCACCTCTTTATATTTAATTTGGTAAACCAAATTAGTCAAAATTTGTGACCTCAAAGCACAGCAATATCTTACAGTGGAGATATATACTATATTTGCTCTCATGCTAACAAATGAATAAATTTAAATGTGGCATTTTGTAACATCTCAAGCCTAATGTAATCACATTATTATTTTTTTTATTGTAATGTAAATGTTAAAGCTGCAGTGTTTATTATATATGAACAGCGGTTCAAATGACTATATGTATTGGAAAGGGGTCACTTGTGACTACCACAGATAATTATCACCATGCAGTTCCCCTTCAGCTCCATAGAGTGTTTTAGTGTCTTTCAGCTCATTGTTTTGGTTTTACATCCCACAGCTTTTACGGCTTCGGTTCAGTCTCACTGCTCTCATCAGCCTTGGTTCTAGTGAAAAAGCTCTGACAAATCCACTGTAAACTACTTGCTCAGCGCCAAGTGGCAAACAGAAAAGGTTAGCGGCTAGTTGGTGAACACAGTGGAGCATTTAGCAGCTGAAGAGACAGATATTTTCCTTAGGAGTCTTAACTTGTTCCACTTCCCCCAAATGAACAAAAAAGCTTTAAAGAAATGTTATTTTTATTTTAGTTCCTTTGTCATAATGGTGCATTGTTGTTCTGCCACTCTTTCATCTGGATGTGTAAAGTACACTCAGTCATGATTAATGCACTCCACAGTTTATTAGAAAGCCAGTCTTCTAACATATGCACTTACATTCAGTATGCAAGGTAATCTGTCATTGCCAACACACTCTATAGAAGAAACTTACAAAGCTTTGATTCATGTTTAACAAGGGTGTAAACAAGCTTTGGGAAATTGTTCCGCACATTTACACAATGACAGGATGCTTGATCTCACTTTTGACATAAATACATAATTCAGTTAGGGAAAATATGACTCATGTAGTATTTAAAACATGCCGCCTCGTCTCTGTGAAGTGATTGTATTGTATTTAGGTCTGTGTTGGTTTGGAAGGAAAAGTTCTCATTTG